ATAACATTTTATTATAAATATTTATAAGCTGTATAGTATCAAGCTTATTCTTTTTATCTATAATATCACTTATCAGAATATCAGAATCAGATATAATATTAAATCTTAGATTAAATTAATATCTTGATCTCTTTCATTCATAGATGACTACTCTTGACTTTATCTCAGACTTTTCAGATAAAAAGTAGTAGTAGCTTGAATGAGAAATAATATATTTTTACTCAGTATTAAAATTCAGTTTCTGAAGTAGTATAAAATCAACTTTTTATTCAAATGCAATTTGAAGATAAGAATAAATACAATTTAAGTTTCTATTTATATTATTTTGAATAAATGTGATTTTTGAAGAGTTTTTAAACTTTTTTTATTGTTTTTATTGTATATTCATACTAAAAGAGAGTAGAGATAGAGTAGAATCTAATTACTATCATTAGATAGTAGATTATAACTATTTTGAAAAGATGGAATCTCAACTGCTTATATTATATCTAACTTATCATCAGAGTCATTTCTCAATTCTCTAATCTTAATAGAAGTTTAAGAATTCAAATTCTGTTTATATTGAACTGAAGAATTGAAGTTTGAAGATTTAGATAGTTGAGAGTTTCTTCTTTTTAAGCTTGTAGTTATAAGTTTACTGACTTGACTCTTCTCTTCAGTTCTAGATTAACTTTGAGCTTTATCTTTTCTCTAGTTCTTTTGAGTTCTTGAAGTAAATATACATTGTTTTAAGCTAGATACATGTTTTTCTTTGCAATTAGAGCACTTAAGCAGAGTGTGTTAATATATTTCATCTCTTTTTGAGCATGTTTCATATTTATGCTCACTAGTTTTGTGATCTCTGGCACAGAATGCACATTTTGAGTCTCTAAAATATGAGATTGCAATGTATTCATATCTTTGACAGTTTAAATACTGTGTTTGAGCTTTGAGACTCATTCTTGAGTCTTTGTATTCATGAACTCTTATTTTTAAACCTGTTATTCTTACTTCAGAGATCTTTGACTGTTCAAGTATTTTTATATATACTAGAACAGAGACATTTCTCCTGCTTTATCTGAACTCAATTGAATTTAATCATACAGGCTCTTTTCTCAGTTTAATAGAGTTGTATTCTTTCAATTCATTTTTGAGAAGTAGCATTTCTTCTTCACAGTCAAAAATTTCAACTTAAATATTATAAAGAATGAATTTATTCTACTTTTTATCTCTCTCAGATAGAATTGTTATGTTTAGTAAAGATTCTACTACTGACTTTCAGAGATTCTCATTCTGAATAAGAAATTCAGTACTGAATTCAGACATTGTAGTCAGAATAATGAAGTTTTCAAAGAATGATGACTCAATTGAAGCTATAACTGATTTTTAAACTTCAATATCAGTCATCAACTGAGAAAAGAACTGCTGATTAATTTCATTTCTGATTCTGAAAATGAGATTTGAGTTTAGCTTGTTTCTTTACAGAATGTTCTGATTTGAGACTTTGAGAATAAGTCTTCTATTTCTGAAGATTTGAAAATTTTTCTCTTTTTACATTTTTTTCTTCACTTTTCTATGAATAGAAGTATGAGCAGTATTCTTCTCAGTTTTCTCAGGATTTTAAGCAGATATTGAGACAGCAGATTTAGAGATAACAGATTCAGCTGCTTAAGCATATGTTTTCTTCTGATTCAAAGAAGAAGAAGAAATAGAAAAAAAAGAAGAAGAGTAAGATGAAAAGTCAGTGATTATACTAGGAATTTTCAATGTTTTTTGAACTGTGTTTGAAATTCTAAGTTTGAACTTGATTATCTTCTGTAGTTATCTAGTCTGAGTATGAAGAATTAACAGAACTTCTTCATTCATCTCACTCAGACACTGCTTTTCAAGAATTCTGCTTACTTTTTCAAGTTTCTGTATTTCAAGAACTTGTTATTTCTTTATTTCTTCTTTCTTTCTTCTCTTTAGAATTTCAATCTCAGAAATAGTATTTGAGAAAGCATCTTTTTTTATATTAACTGAGTGTATTTTTGAACTCATTATTCTCACTCAATGAAAAGTTAATCAGGCTGTTTTAATTAAGATATTTATTGAACTCTTTTGAAAACTTGATCAGACTGTTTCAATTAAGACATTTCTAAGCCTGTTTTCAATTGAAAAGTTGATCAGACTGTTTCAAAAGAAGAATACAAGACTTTTATATATAAAATACCTGATTTTTTCACACTAGTTCAGTAACTAGATTAGATTTTTGAAGAGAATCTAATAAACTAAAATTAATTTTTAAGATAAATCAATAATATCTTTATAATCTCTTTCTTAGAATACAGTGAGGAAAAGTATAATATCAATTGATAATAAATCAGATAATATGACAGTTTTTGAGAGAAAAACTGATAAAAAATAAATCAATTTTTTACAGAGAAATTGATTAAAATTATTCAATTTTATTCTAAATCATTCAATTCTTCTCACACAATAAGTGTGCAACTTAAATTAGTTAATAAAGAGTGTAAAAAAGAATTAAGTATTAATAAAAGCTCTTCAGTCACTGAAAAAGTAATACTTACTTAAAAGAATATAAAATCATGACAGAAAACAGCTCTGTTTTTAATTCTTTATAAGAATATTGTATAAAACTCAGAGAAAAATATCTTACTTTTTCAAGAGAAGTAAAAAACTATTTCTAAGATCTTTTTTTTTTGTATTAACTACTGCAGAAGAATGAGATAGAAACTGCTAAGATATATACTACTATATACTCTTTATCAAGACTTTCTCTCTTCAGAGTCTAGATATTATAGAGAATATAAGTCTATTTCTATATAATAATATAAATATTGTCAGCAGAATGTAGAGAAACTGATTATTTATATTTTAAAATAGAAGACTTTGTTAATGATTATATCAATATAGAGTTAATTCTTCAATTCAATAGAAATCTAGTATTGCTGTTCTCAATCTCTTGCAGAATCTATTGAATATTGAGATATTAAAACTAGATTTAATATATCTCACTGTGCAGAAATCAAAGACTCAGTCAGATCTTGAAGTATACTGATTTTATAGTTGTTGATATGCTGTTGACTTATTATTCACTGATTATGTATCAAATGCTGTTGTCAAGGTATCTTTTTGTATTTTTCTGCCAGAGATGGGCCAGATTGAAAAGGGCAGTATGAGAGTGAGACTTAGTGTTGATGTTTTGAAACATTAAAGATGAACAGGGTTTTTGCACAGATTGCTTCTCAGATATCTTCACAATTACAGATTGAGAATCTTTCAAAATTAAGAAGATTGATATATATGACTAGGTCTCTTCACCTTACAATTTATATCGCAATTTGGCCCGGGGTTGTGGTGTGATAGGGGTGAATGGGGGATAATCCCACACAGGAGTTTCAAACAATGTCTGGTTCATGTTTGGCTGGATATCTCCACCACCACACAGGGTATGCGGTCGGCGATGGGGTCAAAATGCTCATATGATTGAGAGCTTTTCAATGGATCTATCGGCGGGTTCTTATTTGAAAAATCGTGCGAGTTTGTAGTGAAGTGGTTGACACTGACTCTTATCTGATAACTTCTGTGAATAATTACTTTACATGTGTATGTTTCTGAATCTTTCTCTTTAATTAATTGAAAACTCTGAATTCTGAACACTTCTTCAAATACTTAATTGAAATCTTCATATTTAATATCAATCATGTCTTCAGTTCAATCTTGAGACATATTATAAAGTTAATATATAACATCTAGAATCAGAGTTGAAAAATCATTGAAGAGTATCTCTTACAGTGAATGTATAAACTAGTATAAATAATCTTATATTTATAAGAGTTATATGTTATTACATTGATGAGAACTGAATCTATTAAGAGATATTAATTGAATTTAAATCATTGATCAGTAGTTATACTAAGAATTATATAACAGAGATATTAATAACAGTGATTAAAAATAACTATTAAGATATTAGTCTCAGTCTTCTTACAATTACAACTGATAATGCTGTGAATAACTAGACTGACTGGTGAGATCATGAATTTCACATTTAGTCTCATTGTAGTGTGGCGGAACCGAAGTGGTGACTAGTTAGCAGTGTTATGTAGAGGTAGTTGTTTGAAAAGTTGTATGAGTGAGCTTGACTATCTTGCTTGAATAGTGAGCTTGTGAGCTACAGAGTTATTATGAGAATATCACAGATATAATACTTAGTATACTAAGAAGATTGTATGAGACATGCAGTAACTCTTGTATATATTTCAGTAGAAGAAAAATAAATCACTGACTTCTTTGATAAAGAGTCAGCATCTAGCTATTTTGTATAGATAATGAGCAGATACTCTTCTCTCATTTCATGAGTGAGAATAGCTGAAGTGATACCTCAGCAGCATTTCATTGCTAAGAAAGAGTAATCTGCTGATCTTGTATAGAAGCAGAATTCTCATATTCATCAATCAGATCTTTCTATGATATATCTGAATAATGTTATAGAGTGATTGAAAACTGGTTTAAATGAGATGAAATCATCTGCATAGAAGTGATGAGCTGTGTGAAACTGTAATAAGATCTTAATATAACTGAGAGTGTGATAATACTCTTCTTTTTAAGAGTATAGTTCTGATACTCTCAAGATTATCAGATTAGAAATTATCTTTATTATATAGTAATAATTATTAACTGATTTGACAGCATATGTACTGTGTATGATATAAAGAAATAGATGAGTTTTTCTACTGACTGTGTAGATCTTTCTTTTCTCATCTTCATTCAAATTAAACATGTAATAAGTGAGTTTCTTATATATTAATTTAAAATGTGAAAAACATAGTTAACAAGTGACTTACAGATCTTTCAATGTATTTTATTCTATATATGAAATTCTCTGCAAAAGTGATGTGTTTTTAGAGACATAGCTAACAGTAATAACTGGATTTTTTAAAAAGATCTCTCTCTCTGTGAAATATTTTTCTTCTCTCTCTCTCAGTTACAACAGTGAGTGTATGAGAGTATTATTCTTAAAGAATAATCAAGGACTTATTCTGACATTTTCTAGTGAGTAAACATCTTTGTAGTGCAGCTGCGGTCTTCATAACTGTCAAGAAAGCCTGGTTGAAGGTGAAGATAGCAGTGTTGACAGACTGCAGAAGTATCACTCTCATTGTCACATCTTCTTCTTCTTCTTCTCCTGCTTCTCTTGCAGCTGCAGCAGTAGTTGCCATATCTTGCAGTGAAGTGTTATTCCTTCTGCCAGTTGATTTGTTCATGTTCAGTTCTTTCTCTGCTCTCTCTGCTGCTGTTGTGACACCGCTCTCTCTCTCAGCCAACACAGTGATGTATGATCTCATGTGATCATTTGAAGAGGAATCTGAAGAGAGCTTGATTCTGGAAACAGTAACTCTGAGAAGCTGAATCTATAGTTCTTCTTCTGTGGCACATCTAAGCTCTGCTCAGAATGCTGCTGAGTTGAGTCTGCAGAATTCTGTGATTTCTTCATCTTCTCTCTGTGAGAAGGCTCTGATACAGTCTCTGATCAGCACTGCTACTTATCTGCACTATACTAAGCAGCTGAAGAAAGAGAGGATTTTATATATCTACTTCTTCTCTTACTCTTATTATTTCTGTTATATCTGTAATAATGACTTCTATCTCTCTGTAAGTATTACTTCATAGAAAGATGTTATATCAACTCTGATAAAAAGTCTAGATATCTAAGCAGTACAGAGTGAGAGTCTCAGAGCTTTAAGTATTAACAGATTTTATCAAGACTGAGAAGATCTCTCTTACTTATCTGTAAAAAGAGGTAAAAGTGTGAGTCTTTGAGATGAAAAAACATCTCAGAATAACTAATCTTAAGAAGAGATCAGTCAGTGTCACTGTTGAAAGTATCACAGAGATTAATTACTGATTGAAGAGAATCTCACTTCAGTTAAAACAGATAACTGAGATGCTTTGTAAGTTAATAAGTTAATATTTTATACATTTCTTATACTCTTCTGTGACACTGCAGTGCTAACTTCTCAGCAGACAAAGATGCTGATGTCAGAGACTTTAATAATAAAGAATAAGTTTAATAAGAGTGTGATTATTAATAACTAGACTCTGATTTCTCTTTTTTACTTTTTCAGTGAGCTGTGACTCTATTAGAATAGCAGTAGTCTGCAGATTAATAATATTAATCTTTATTAATTTCAACTATCTCTTTTCTCTAACTGCTTCAGGAATTTTATACTTGTGTAGTCTTATTAAACTTTTAAAAAACTCTTTAAGAGAAAATAGAAGAAGAGTGCTACAGAGTCTATAAGACACTGACTCATCACTGTAAGATTATCTCTAAAAAATTCTTTGAAAAAAATAAGAAGTTTTAAGCAGTATTTCTTACTCAATGTCTCTGATATGTAACAGAGTAATCTGTACTAATTATCTCATAGCTTACAATCTCTTTCTCAGCATTTTTCAAATACTCAAGTAGTTTTTATAAATTCTTTGATAATGAATAATCTTCTCATTTCATAAGATATTGAAGCTTGCTGTAATATATTCACTTGTTTAATATTTTCTTCATAAGATATTCAGTATCATTCTTGATCTCAATATCATTCAGCTGAGACAGCTCTACTCTGAGACATTGCTTATAGAGCTTCAAATAGAAAATGTAAAAAACAGAATGAATTGATTTCAATTCTGTGAGTAATTTCAACTTATATATCTATTTACTCATCACTCTTATTACTGAGAAAGATTCTAGTCATTACTTACTGAGCTTCTTACACAGTCTCATTATCTTGATATTCTTTGTTAAAAGTAGTACTTAATTCTCTATTAAGAACTTCATTGAAAGATGTTTTCAATTATAGTATTCTATCTACTACTTCTGAGTGTGACAGATACTTTTCACTATCTTCTCATGAATTTTATTCAAAAGTTTCAATCTTGCTTTTACTTCTGATACTGAGAAATACTCTGTTCTCTGTATCTATTCAACATTCTGACTGTCTATTTCTCTCTTTGAAATGTTGTTCATGACATCACTGAGTAATGAAGAATTATATTTATAATAAGTATAGAAAGAAGATATCTTTAAGATTACATTCTTTGCATTATTATATATGAATTCAGTGATTAGAAGGTATTTTGACTAATCATTCTGATAATATAAATAGAACACTTAAAGATGCTGTTCTAGTATCTGATTCTGATATTCAGTCTGATTATCTGTCTGCAGATGAAATATGATACTGAGAAGACATCTTATTATAAGATGATAGTAAAAAGCTGATCAGTACTTGCTGATGAAGAGAGATTCTTGATCTGTTATTAACAATTTCAGAGTATCATGATTATAAATAATAATATCTAAAAACAGATTAGTTAATTCAGAGACTTTACTCTTTTTATAAGTAGAAATGTATCTGATTATCTTTGTGAAGTAGTTAATAATGATTAAAATTAAGTTATATTCTTTGACTCTTGTTAACTTCAGCAGATCAACTATGAAATTCATTAATAGATTCTGTTATAAGCTCTTTAAAACAGACAGTGATATCAACTCACTGTATTACTTATACTGTGAAATCTTTATTCTTTGATAGATATTGTAAGTCTTAACATACTCTTTAACATCTGTCTAAAGCTTATTTCAAATATATTTATATTTTAGAAGCTTTTCAGTCTTCTCTAATCTGAAGTGTTCTGTATAAGAATTATTATAATGAATTCTTAATAACTTCTGACACATCACTCTACTATAAGAGATAAAGACTGAATCATTCAGTAGTAGAAGTTCACATTCTTCTAGTTATCAGTAACTTGATTTCTTAGCAGTACTATTCTACTCAGAGTCTATCTCTTTCAAGTTCAAATCAGATTTTTCTTCTTCAACTTCTGAATTTAAGCTGTAGTAGAGATATCCCTCTTCTGTAACCTATTAATGAATTTCAAAAGTAGTCAGATTGAAAGATTGTAGACTGTTTCATTCTTTGTCAATTCAATGATTGTAAGATATGATATGAGAAGCTTATAATCTTCAGTGTCAGTTCTCTACAGAGATCTGAGTTTTCTTTCATCTTCTATACTGAGTTATACAGCTGTCTTTTCAGTGCTGTTTCTGAGCTTTAGAGAACTTTAATTCTCTGCAGTCAGCTTCTTCTGCAGTGATGACAGAGATTCTTTTATAGAATTCTTCTTCATATCAATAATATTATAATCAGATTATCTAGACAGTGTGTCAGTGAGATTAAGCTGACCTGAATAATATTGAATATAGAAATTATACTCTGAAAGCAGCTCTGCTCATCTGACTTGACATTCTGTCAAGCTCTTTATTGTCAAGAAGTAATGTAGATTTATATGATCAGTGAGAACTTACACTGAGTACTTACTACTCTGAAGATAATATTATCAGATCTTAAAGAATTTAATAATTACTAACATCTTCTGATTATAAGTATCATATCTTCTCTGCATAAGTGATAACTTCTTGAAGAAGAAGATCACTGATCTTCATTTACAGTGTCTTATAGACTCTGTAAAAAAGTCTTCTCTCACAGATAATTCATTATCTGTTTCTTCAGAGATAATTATTCTCTGATTCTTTCAATATTGAAAGATCTCTAATATCAACTGTGAAAAGATTTCACAGATCTCATTTCTGAATATATCAGTCTCACACTGACTGAGTAAGTCAGAGTTAAAGTGATTCAGTATTATGACATCTGTGAAAGCTTATTTCAATTTTATAAATATCTGCACAGTGTCTTGAGTAGGAGTAAACAGTTCTGTTTTTCTGTCTTTCACACTTTTCTTTAACAGATCTGTAAGAGGAGCAGTAATCTGTGAATATATATAGATAAATTATCTGTAGAAATTTGCAAATTCTAGAAACATCTGCATCTCACAGTATGTCTGCAGCACTGGCCAGTTCTCAATGACAGAGACTCAGCTTCTGTTCATTGAAATGTCATTCATCTTAATAATATAATCTAAGAAATCAATCTTCTGCATGTAGAATGAGCATTTTTCAGTGTTTGTATAGAGTTGATACTGTCTCAAGTGACTCAACACTTCTTGAATATGAGTATCATGTTCTTTCTCTGATTTTGAGAAGATTAAAATGTCATTCAGGTATACTATGCAGGAGATGTTGACAAGGCCTCACAGCATCTCATTTATATAGATCTGAAAGATGGCTGAAGTGTTACAAAGATCAAAAGATAAAACAAGATATTTAAAATTACTATACTTGATATGAAAAGCTGTTTTTCAAATGTCATCTTCATTAACTCTGATTCTATGATAGACATTCTATATATCAATCTTTGAGAACATCTTTGCTTTAGATAATTGATTGATTATCTTATCAATCAACAGTAATAAATAGTGATTCTTAACTATCATCTTGTTAAGGCCTCTGTAGTCTATGTATAGATATAGTCTATCATTCTTCTTAAGTATAAAGAGTATAGACACTTCTGCTGAACTCTTTGATAAATATATTCAGTTCTTTGATTGCACTTCTTCAAGATATTTGCACAGAACATTCAATTCCTTTACAGATAAGTTGTAAAGAAGTCTGTACAGCACTGTTACACTGTCTTCAAGATGAATCTTATATTATATCTTGATGTCAGAAAACTTCACTGCTTCTCTTTCTGAAAAGACATTCTTAAAATCTGTAAAGAGACATTATATACATTAATCTTTAATGACAGATACTGCTGTTAATCTTGTAGTGAGAATGATAGCTTCTTTATCTATCTCTAAGTCTCAATCATCTGCTACACAGTATATTAACTCAATCTTTTTCTCAAGATTTTTCTGATGAAACTCTTCAGGTTTCTCTATCACTATCTCTTTATCAGTGAGATGATATTATCACATCTGAGTCACTCAGTCAATGAGAGAATTATTTTCTCTCAATCACAGAAGATCTAGAATAATGTTCTTATCTATGATATTGACTGTGTGAAGAAGCAGACTGCTCTTCTTAAAGATTTCTTCTAAGTCTGTGATCACACACTTTGCTTGAATTATGTTAAAATGATAATATTTTATTTCATCAGTAAATTTTATATAATCTGATGAATTTATCTTCTTTCAACTCTTTATCAAAGAAAAGAAATAGAATATGAAGTTAGTATTCACTCTGAAGTTAAGTAGGCATCTCACTGATATCTTCTCATTCAGAGTATGTATTGTAATTGTAACATGAACTCAGAGATATAAGAATTATTAATTCTTTTCTTTCTCTTCTTTATCTTCTGTGAATACATTTGTCAGAAGAGGAGTTAACTTTGAGAAGATATCTTCTCAGTTTCTTCTCTTCTTCAGCTTCTTACAATCACTGATA